TGTTAAAAAACACTTACAATAAGCAATAAATGTTGTTCGTCTTTGTCATTGAAATAATGATTCATTGACTTGGCAAGACAACTTTTCAATCTAGTCATAGTGTATGATTCATTATCACTTTCGGTTTTCAAAAAATCTTTGAGATTACGTAGAACAAAAAGGCATATCCCAATCGTTGGATACTGCGAACCACTAAGCAGTTCAGTAGCAAGTTGAAATGGTTCGAGAATTTCAATTAAATGAATGATAATTGTCCATTCGTCGCTGGATAATTGTGATGCTGTCAATTTTTCTTTTTGTTTCGTTGATAATTTAAGTTGACATTTATTGTCAAAAAGATTGATCAACACTTGTTTATGTTCCAAGAGAGCTTTGAGTGCAAGATAGGTAGAGTTCCATCGGGTAATACAGTCAACAATTAGTCGACGAGGTACATTCAATCGATTTTTTTCATCATTAATAAACAATGTGAAAATCTGTGACCGGCGTACGATTTTGATTAATGATCGGCATTTTTGCATGGTCTCGACTACTTTCCGTTTCGTTATTTCAATTTGTTCTTCATTATTATCGTCTTCAATTTCGATATTCACATCTTCTGCCGTCAAGACTTGCTCATCCCAGCTGTCGAATATTAAATCAAGATTTTCTTCGTCTTCGTCATCATCAATATCTTCTTCATCTATAAGGAGACAATATCAGATCTAGTTTCATGTTAGATTGAATATTACAGACCTTCGGAAGCTTCACTCAATTCCATATCATCGTTTGATGTATTTTGTGATTGTGACTCGTCGAATGGAGTTTGAATATCAAGTAAATCATTATCAGCAATATCCATCTTGTCCGATTCACCATGTTGCTTTTTAAATTTTTTCCACAATCCAAGTCCGTTACAAATTGTTAAATGTAATCGATGTGCGACACACCATAATCGATCGATTTGATCAATTGTATCAAATGCATTTTGCATATTCTGTGCCCCATCACAAGTGACCGATGTGATCTTTTTGTCAATACCTAATTCACGAAGCCGGGTATTGACTTCTGCAGCAATATTTTGAGCAAAGTGACGTTGGCTATACGATTGAAAATGTAAAACAGTTGACTTCATTGACACATCGGTGTCCATATAGTGACCAGTCAAACAAAGATATGAATTATTACGCCGGTCTGACCAAAAGTCTGATGTTAAAGCCACATTTGTGACATTTTTCAATGTCTGCTTCAAACGGGACATGTGAACGCCATGAAGCCGTTTCAGCTCACGTTGAACTTGATTTCGATGAGGAGGATGGTAACCTAAACAAAAAAATCAAACTCTCGTAGTGAATTTCAAATTGTGAACCTTGACTAATGCTAAGAAACTTTGACGATGAAAATCAGAAAAAGATATCAGTTTTCAAAACGTTTATTTGTATATTTAATTATTCAATTAACGGAAAAATCACCATATCATTATTTTCAATCAATATGACGAACATACACTGTAAAGGTAAAAAGTACTTTTGATCACCAAAAAAATATACTTTTGATCACCAAATGCTTTTAGATACAAATGATCACCAAAAAAAGATACTTTTTCTACAACCATAAATATTGTCGTGTTTAATATTTTTTTATATTTGTACATTGTACTCTATTCATGAATAAAAATTTGGAAAATTTGGTGATCAAAAGTATCTTTTTTTGGTGATCAAAATAATTGATACCCCACTGTAAACTTGAAAATAAGTTATAGAAAATAAAACATGATTTTCAATTTGTCCATATACGAATTCACCAGCGATTTTCTACTTGCTAGAAAATATGATTTTCAGGAATTTTACGTTTTTCATAAAATAGGTTTGTATTTTCCAGAAAATAAAATCGATTTTTTTTCGGAAAATCGCCGCTGATTTACCAAAAACTCAAAATCGATTTTCCAAAAAATAAATCAGTTTTGTATAAGATCAACGACGATTTTCAAACTCAAGAATCACCGGCGAAATCGTATGTGAATAAATTGAAAATCAAAAAGAATATATTTTTAAAGACATCGAAACTGCAGAACGATTTTTTAAAACCGTTCAGGATTTTTCTAGTTTTCTTTTCTAAGTGTTGTTTTATAAGGATTTAAAGAAACAGTAGTGAACCAGTTTTACTCAAGTTATTTATTTAATTCACCTGAGTCTTTTATTGCAGCGTTACAGAAAAAATACAGCGAAAGAAAGACTAATATGATCATAACGCTTATCTAGAAGTAAACTTGCAAGGGATAAATAGTACTGCTAAAATGTGTGCGTTAAACTAAATGCCAGTTTATTTTCGTGCTGAAGGAGAAACTATGGAGATTGTGTACGGCAAAATTTTATCTCAAAGATTAGCAGAATCACTAGTTTGCGACATTGTTCAGCTTCAGTCCAACTTACTTCAATTTCTAACAGTAATGGACAAATTTTTCTTAAATATGTGAACTTTTTAATATGAAAGATGTTATTACTTTTGTCA